CCCCCCCCCCCCCCCCCCACATGAACAAAAGAAATTTCTTACTTTTTTTTCTTTCTTCTTTTTTGTTTCTTAAGTGTCCTTTATTTGAAGAATTGAGAAAGAATGAAAGGGTGGAACCAGAATGGTTCGTTTTCACATACTAGATGCCAGCAATGAAATGTACAAATATAATCCAAATGTGATCATGATGAGATATATAATAATTGGTTTTCTTCCTAATTTAAAAATCGAGAGATAGAACATCAATTTGGGGATATTAGAACTAGTATTCGAGAAATGTAATCGATTCTTTCATTTATATGACCCACTGGCAATCTGCATCAACTCGAACTTATACAAATTTAATTATAAAATACGTGATTTAATGACTGCTGAACCAAATTTTAGCGTCAATCTTAATCTTTGTCATTCGAGCATATACAAACTGATCACAAATGATAACACCGTTTAAGAGTGGTCAAATTTGTGACATTATAACAAAGGTCGCGTGTATGTACAAAATAGTTTTGATTGATTTGTTTCGTAGAGAAAAGTTTGCTTAGTATATTTTCCAATTAATTACCTATTTGTGAACAATAAATTAGGTTACCTTATTTGAAAAGAAAAACTTAAAAACATGATTCGCTCTAATTTTCCCAAAGAAAAAAAATAAATATATTTTTGGGAACTCAGCAGGTTTGAGTCAGAATTTGGATTAATATCCAATGTTAGGGGCCCGAACCCTCACCTCTTTAAGGTGGCCCAGCCCAGACTGTCTTCTGGTCCTGGAATTAAAAAAGAACAACATAAAAACCAAAGGGCCCACTAGTCACAAGGAGGAGTAATTGTTCATTTAATATCCATTTAGCACTAACTGAAGCAAATAGGTATCCATTTTAAGGAATGATGTAGATTTTTCAAAATAATATATGTGATTATTGGGAGAATGTGTAGTTGAAAAAGTAAAGAAAATTTATGTCCATGTACAAAATTATTTAATGGGAAGATGTGTAATTGAAAATGAGTTTGAGAAAAAAAATTAGTTTTAAAAAATTTGTACCAAACAGGGGCTTATATACTTTATTTATTAGCATTAATTTTAATTTTATTAGTAATTTTTGAGGGAAAAATTATCATTTTCAACTCTATTCAAAGTGTCGTGAAACTATTGTTACAAAAAGTCGAGCTAATGAATTTAAACAAGAGTTTATTTGAATGTAGCCCAACTTTTTTATTCCTTCTCTCTTTTAATTTTACTTTCTGGCTTATGACAATATTTTACAATTTTTAAGAATTTTTTTAGTATTTTAAGCAACAAGAGTCGAGGTCATCGTATTGAGGTTTATATGGTATTCCAATGGATAAAATTTTGGGATAGATAAAACCCTAGAATCTTGTGATTCTACGAATAATTTTGGCCAAAACAACCAAGGATAAAGGAAGCAAGTGGCTTTTAAGCAATGTTCTAAAAGGCGTAATGCATTGCGAGGTGTCGAGGTCGAGAATCAAGAATCATAAGTTTAGGCATTTCAATGCGAAGAATAAGCGCCATAATACATTTCGTATTTTTAATATTATTTCAATTATTTTTAAAGTATTAAATATGTTTATTATATAAAAAAATAGATTTTTTAATATATCATAAAAAAATTTACCAAAAAAAAAGGAATTAAACGGGATAATGCGCCGCCTAGGTGGCCCATTATGCCACCTTTTAGAGCAGAAATGAATTTTTCGCGCATATCCCGGATTCGACGCTTTTTCCAAGTAACCTTCACACCCACTTTTTAGTAACCTTTGCACTTTCAACGCCGATACAATTGGGAATCTAAAACATTTTCCAATCACATTGAATGTGAATGGTTCATCTTCAAAATGTTGAAAGGTTACTGACTTTTTCTTACAATCTATAATAGCTTGATATTTTGATAACCAATC